TACCACTATCATATTATATACATGCCACTATCTTATTATTAACACAAATTTCCAGCATCCATTTTTATCAAGTCATATTTGTTAGATCACCATTAGTCTAAAGCTTAAGCTGTTAGGAAATGAGTCCAACAACATATTTAAAGCTCTCCAACACCCTTCCTCACTCCCCTCTTGCATGTGGAGATTTAAATATTCAAACATGTAGAGAAATAGAATGCAAATGGGGAAACAAAATACAAGTAGAGAGACATGAACCGATGGCATCTCCTAATTTGAGCTTTGATACCATCTTAGATTACCACTATTTGAAAAAGCTTAGTTGTTAGAAAAAGAAAATGAAAATCAAAGATTAACTGTAGAGAAACTAGATTTTAGTAGAATTAATTTTTTTTCTAAGTTAGACTACTTTTTTGCGGGGTTAAGGAGTGATATATTTTTTTCTTTATGAACAAAAAGTGAGGGGGAAAAAATTCTTTAATGATCAAAGTGAAAAAATTAGTACTTTAGGACGTAAAAGTGTAATTTACTAAATTTTCTCAGAATGCCAGGTCTGGGTTAACTTGAGTCACGTGACATTTTTCATTACAAAATTATTACTTTAGTTGCAATTTGGTTCAAAGAGAAAAGAATTTGGTAGTCTAAAGGATCAAAGTGAAAGTAATTTCTTTTTTAAAGACCAAATGAGAAAAAGGTGAAACTTAAGAGAGGTGCCTCTGTAATTTATCCTAAAATTTAGATAGGATCTTATTGATATTTTCTTAACAATGCTCGCACCTGCAAAAAAGAATCATGTTATCACTTTCTCTGACAAAGATTTGCTGGCAAAAGGGGCAGCTCATAATAAGCCCCTTTACATGTCCTTGAAGTGTCGAGAGAAATGTGTGTTCGTAGTTCTAGTTAACAACGATTTAGCTATAAACGTATGCCCAACCATAACTACTTATGCTTTCGGTTTAAGGCCTGAGATTTCACCACCTCAGCACAAGTTGTTAGAGCTTACAACAACACCAAGCAAGAGGTTCTAGGAATAGTAAACTGAAGATCATCGTAGGACCGGCAGAACACAAGGTAGAATTCCATGTAATGGATGTCTCTACCTCATTCAATATGTTGTTGGAATGACCTTGGTTAAACCAATTTTGAGTTATATCTTCGACTGTGCATCAAAGGGTCAAGTATCTTAAGGGGGACACTGTGATCACTATCTATGGTGATACTTTTGAGGTAAAAGAACCTTACAACATTCACCTGAATTGATTTTGGCTTGAATTAACTCTATAAGGATTATTTAATCATTATCAGCATGCTCAAATTAATACATTGACCTTAGAAGGAAAAATAAGCCATCTTACATCTTTATTGATGACACATTATATTGTATCCAAGATTTAGTACTGAATGACTTGTTAGAGAATCTCCACTGGTATTTGTCAAAATAGCAATGTCAAAGCAATAAATTGGCATTTTACTGTACCAAAATACTAAAGTTTAGCAATGTTGCTCGACTGGTTCAAATGCCATTTTGACACAACTACATATTCTATTTTTTTTCAACTACTATCTTTAGTTATTAAGGGAATTATTGTAGCCATTGGATCAACATCTTTTTATTGGAATTATCTAAGTCATTAGATGAACATCATTTAGTAAACTTTATCTGTGAAAGCCTTCATCTCTGTCAAAGCCCTTCATCATCTCTCACAGTAACTATATGAAGATCAAAGCCCTCTTCATTTTCAAATCCCTTCTTCATCTCAATGACAACTATATACCTCTTTTGCTTGTTCCTTTCACACTCATACTACGATTTACGATCCAAATTGTGATCTATGATCTCAAACATCTCTCTCTCTCTCTCTCTCTCTCTCTCTCTCTCTCTCTTAGGCCTAAGATCTTGAAAAGTCAAATCTTTTTTCTCACTGTCACACTCTCAAAGCCCCATAATTATGGAGACTTCCGATGAATCAAATGACTCTTTCAACGACTAAGGCAACTCTCTACACTCTTGGCGACTAACTTTGAGATGATGTCTGGATTAAAGATCAACTTCCACAAAAGCTTTGTCTGTGGGGTTGGGTATAATGAAGACCAAACCAAGGACTTGGCTAAAGATTTGAATTGTCTGTCAAATAAGTTGCCTTTTAATTTTTTAGGCTTGCCTTTAGGGGCTAATCCCAAAAGGAAGAGTACATGGCTACCAGTTGTGATCAAGGTCAAGAAAAAGCTCTCTTCTTGAAACAAAAAGTTGTTGTCTTTTGCTGGAAGATTGTCACTAATCAAATCAGCCTTGGCCAATCGACCAATCTATTTTTCTTTCTATTTTTAAGATGCCAAAGGGGATTATTAAGATTATAACTAAACTGCAGTCCAACTTTCTGTGGGGAGGGAATGAAATTAATAGGAAAGTGCATATCGTCAAATGGAAGGAGGTCACAAAAAGCAAGAGGCAAGGTGGTTTGGGTGTGAGGAACTTAGGTGAGGTTAATGCATGTTTGTTACTAAAGTGGCGGTAGAGGTTTGGCAATGAGATAAGGCCCTTTGGAAATCAATGGTGTGTTCTAAGTATGGTAGAATGGGTGGGGCTTAGATCTCTTCAGTATATTATATAGCAGGGGTTTCCATGGTTTGAAGGGACATTACACAGATTACTGAGAATAATCAGCAACTGGATGAGTTTTTTGGAGGCCAAATAAAAATCATTGTTGGTAATGGGAAGAGAATTTGGTTCTGGCATGATGCCTGGTTGAGTTCTAGAAGCTTGAAAACTGAATTTCCCAAATTATTCAGTCTATCCACAGAGAATGAGGAGACTCTTCACCAAATCAGTATGAAGAAAAGTCTATCAAGGGAGTGGCAACTCCAATTTAGAAAAAATCTATTAGCTTGGGAAGATGAGGAGCTACAGAGGCTATGTGGTCTGCTGGTGGTATCCCCAATCCTTAGAGTTGGGCTTCAAGACTCTTGTTCTTGGGCATCAGAGAGGTCTGGGCAGTTCACAATCTCATCTGTGAGAAGGTGGTGGGATACAACTACAGGGCAAGGTGTGGCAGTACCACCACGGGTGTGGGTGAACTTAGCTCCACCAAAAATGCATTTTTTTTACTGGTTGGCTTGGCAATGTAGTGTCAAAACCTCAACCTTCCTCCAAAGGATTGGGGTTCTTGGTGTGAGTGTTAATAAATTGTGTGTGTTCTGTCATATTGTGGAGGAGTCTGTGGAGCATGTGCTTCTACACTGTCCTCTAGTTTGGAAGTGTTGGTCTCGCATGGTATATTGGTGGGGTCAGGCCTGGGCTATACCTAGTTCTGTTGCAGGTTTGCTGCATTGGTGGTTTGGTGGTAAGCTCAAGTCATGGATTGGTAAAGTCTGGCAGATTATCCCCTCTGTCGTTTTTTGGTCTGTATGGAAGTTGCGGAATGAATGTTTGTTTAAGGGAGCTCAGCCTAATATTTATGATTTATGCGAAAAGATTAAAGTGCAGATAGCTTTGTGGTCCAAATGGCTCTTGAAAGTAGATTATTCTGTGCACGACATTGTATCCAACCTCCACCAGATCAGGATTGCTGTCTGATTTCTGTTGCTGTTTCTTTGGCTTTTGGTCTTTCCCATGGTTGGTTTATTGCCAACTGTTGGGGGTTGGTTAGCTTTAGTTTATGGGCCCTCTCATGTTGTTCACTGAGTTTTCTTTGCTATTGCTAACTCTGTTCGCTCTGTTGATCAACTCTATTAGCTCTGTTGTTAGCTTCAGTTTTGAGTCCCCTCTGTGCTGTTGTTAGCTCTGTTACTTCCCTTTTATTGATGTATCCTCATACTTGTATGCTACATTTCATCAATAAAGCTTTCTTTGCTTATCAAAAAAACTTTCCACCATTTCCAAATTAATGCAAATCACTGTTTTTTTTTTAAATAATGCTATATGCACTAATTAGTGTACTAATTGATGATGTGGCATAATTTAAAAAGTTTTTGATATTTGTAATTTGTATATTGAGTGGGGTCAATAATAATGTCATAACTAGTGTTTGTATATTAATTAGTACACTAATTGGTGCATGTAGCACCACTATTTTTTTTTTCCATGTTTTAGCCCATTTTTTTAAAGATTGGTGCATATTATATATATATATATATATATACATAACAAGCAATTAGCCTTTTCACTTGGTTTTGTAGGTTTATATTTATGGGTGTGTGGTTTCTTTTACTTCTTCTTCTTTTTTTTTCTTTTTTTTTTCTTTTTTTTTTTTTTTGCCATAGTATTGTTGGTAGAATTTGGGTTCGTTAGTTTATGAATATTTTTTTTTCCAATTTCCAAATCTGAGTTTGAGAGTGTTCTTTTTTTTTTTTTTTTTTTTTTTTTTGCCATAGTATTGTTGGTAGAATTTGGGTTCGTTAGTTTATGAATATTTTTTTTTCCAATTTCCAAATCTGAGTTTGAGAGTGTTCTTTTTTTTTTTTTTTTTTTTTTTTTTTTTTTTTTTTGTGATTTCCAAATATGGAATTTTGTGTTTATGGCTACGGAGGGTGATTTTGTCATGAGAAAGCACTACAAGAATTAACACTTTTGCCGACCAAAAGATTGGTCGCTAAAAGCCCATTTTTGGTCGGTAAAAGTTAGCCGCGACCAATTTTTTTGGTCGCTACTTTGGTCGCCAATTGAGGGTCGGCAAAAGTAATTCGCGACCAAAATTTTGGTTGGTCGGGAAAAGTCGGATTTGCCGACCAAATTTTTGGTCACGAAATATATCATTACCGCGACTAATTCATTTAGTCGCTAAAACACTTTGGTCGCGAAAAGTGAAATTTTCCCGACCAAAAATTTTGGTCGCCAATCGTGACATTCCGCGACCAAAAAATTTTGGTCACCAATCGTGACATTCCGCGACCAAAAATTTTGGTCGCCAATTGTGACATTCCACGAACAAAAAAAGGTTTTGGTCGCCATTTGTTACTTTTCGCGACCAAAACTTTTGGTCGGCAAAAGTGAGTTTCCACGACCAAGAGCTGTTTTGCTCGGCAATAGATGTATTTTTTGCGACCAAAACTCTTGGTCGGCAATTGTCATTTTTTGCAAAAAAAAATTATTTATTTGTTGCGACTAATAAATTGATCGCCAAAGCAGGAAAACAATACACCTGTAATTCCTAATAATTCATTCAATCCATAATAAACCTATAATTTTAAAGCATCATTCAAATTAACTGAATCATTAACATTCGACACAACATATAATTCATTAACATTCGACACAATACAACTCTAAATTGAAGCATTAACATTCAAACACATTCATTAACAACACAACACAATACAACGTCAGGGCGAGCAAAACCACTTGATCCTCTGCGAGCTGTAGCTTCAGCTGAGTGAGAAGCATCATTACCTCCTGAAAGACAAGGCATGAACCCAAATGTTCAATTCACAGCACATCCTATTTGGTTTGCTCAATCAAACAATGTCACAATACTCAAATTTGAAAAGAAATAAAAATACTTCAGCTTTCTTCATGATCTAATAAAGGATTTGGGGGGCAAGGCTTTCATGGATTAATCAAATTATGTGAAAAACAATGTGCCATGAAATTCAAACACATCTTGCCCAGATTAAAAAATAAATAAATAAATAAAAATTACGAAGGCCGGGGACAGAGCTACTGTAAATTGAAGCATTCCAGGTACTTGTCATCACCACGTATTGACAACAGTATATCTGTGCTGCTTTGTTTAGCTCAAAACTAGTTACCAGAAGGTCAATTTAGGTTTATATACACGTATTACAGTGAGCTAGTTTAAATCTGTACTGCTCGGCTTCAGTGCTTATGTGTCTCAGACTTGCTAAAAATAAAAATTAAAAAAGAAGGAAAAAGTGTGTAACATACTCATTTAAATCTTGAGCTAGTTTTGACGATGATGCTGTACATGAACTAGTGTCTTGACTCTCAGCAATGCAAGACACTGTAATTCCAATTACACAATACAATGAATCAATACGAATTTCAATTACTAATACTAATGTCATGAAACTTCCATCGTTTCACTCCCTGATGCATCAGATATTCATCTGCTCCCTCTCTTCAACAATATGGTCCCTCATATCCCACATAAACCACACACACCCCAAAACTAGACCTTCAATATATGAACTTAATGGGAATAAGGATGCCTAATACCAAAGGACAAAAAGTTCTCAGGTTATGCACTGGAGGAGATGACAGGTCAAAAGATTGTATGCAGAAAAAGAAAACCAAATAATTCCATAGCCCCTCCATGAAACTTCATGTTCCAAGAACAAGTTTAGGTACCCCATGCTAAAGATTTTCATATTTTATGCCTAGACATTTCCAATTTTTGGTGGATTTTTGTGCTGTCACATTTGTGTGCATTTAAATTTTCAAGTAGTTCTAACTTATTTTTATTAGCTTGATTTGAAGATCACCTTAAATTCAACATACAAATGTAGTAGATGTGCTAAATTTCATATGGTTTATCAATAACGCAATGTAAAAACTACTAAGCATTATAGTGAGAACAAGGTTGATACCATCTTTAGAGCTGTCAGGTAACTCCTTGCAAGATTGCTTCCCCAAATGACATTTCTGCAAAAATGGGACACCAAATACTATGCCTGTGAATACATTAAAGATTGTTATCTATAGAGTCAGCGAATGAGCAAAGCTAGTAACAAATCAACAGAATGAAACTGAAAAAGAATGGTTCAAATTGGTATTCAAATGTACAACCAACAAAAAAATAAAGGCACAAAAAACCACAAAGCAAGAAGACGAGAATTTTAAATACCAATAGAGTATGTTCAAGTTATTTAGAATAAGTTTGTTGACCTTCAAGGTTTATCGGATAAAGTTTGTTATTTGTTTACATTTTGGGCTTATTATCTATTCTACTTTGTGCAGGCTGAAGAAGCTAAGCTGATCACTCAGTTGGCAGAGATGGATGCTATAAATTTTAGGCTTTTTAAGCAAGCATACAGTGCCTCTTTAGATGTAAGCAAGTTCTTGGACAAGTATGAGATGTCCAAACTCCTTAGGGGGCCATATGACATCGAGAGAGCATGCGTTATAATTAAGTTGGAATTTCAGGCTTCTATCCTGAGGTTTGATATTTATGTTCCACTCCTCAGTGTGCTTACTCTGCTTGCAAATAAGACTTGCATTAAAAAAAAATCATTTATCAATGATGACTTTAATCATTACTACCACCAACTCTACTACCACCATCGTTATTGTTATCGTTCCGAGAATCTATCACTTGAGAAAAGCTACATAAACCGTAGACCTTGTCTGCTTTGTAATATACGAGACTAATCTGGTTACTACAACAATATTATCCCAGTCATAATCCTTGTGGAAAGTGTTAAACAATAAATTACTTTGACAACTTTGTGAAGATGGGATGAGGCTTTGTTGAGTTGCCTCATTGATAGATTTGTATCTGATTTTCGCTACTAGAATTTTCTCTTGATCTCACTGAATGATTTTGCAAATTTCCCAATCCAGATATGGGCAGAACAGATACTGCAAATGTACATAAAATGGGCTGAAAAGCAAGGCCTTGGAGGAAGGATAGTTGAAAAATATCTTTCAAAGAATGGTGGTGTCAAGTCTGCAACTTTCGAGTTTGAATCCAACTATGCCTATGGCTATCTGTCAGGGGAAAGAGGTGTTCACTCCATGATAAGCAGTTCCCAAAATACATCTGTTTCTGATGAGGTATGAATTCCCGTCTCTTTTGGCCTTAAAATCATATGTCAACTCGTATGGCAAACCTCGCTCATGACACTAGGGTACTCAAACACCAACTCATTTGCCTTGGGCCAGCTTAGATTTGTTGCATCTGTTAGAAGGATGGGTAGTGTCGTGTTGTGTCAGACCACTTTCTTAGAAGTGCCCAATGAGTGTCGTGTTGTGTCCACCACTTTCTTAGAAGTGTCTCTACTTCTTAGATTACATCGTAATCCCCATTTACACGACAAACATTTTATCTAACTTTGGGTTGATCTTTAGTCTCTCCCAAAATGTGGAATCAAATTACAGATGAATTGTTATACAGTTCAACCATTACATGTTCAACCATTACATGAACTTTATCGTATAAATGTTACTAGATTAGTCATTCATCATTATTCTCTAATCAGCTAGAGCCACATACTTACTTGAGATAGATCTATTATGAATTGAATGGAATTCTAGATACAGATAAGGCCAAAGGAGAAGGAAAAATTTAAGTTGTACCTCAATCCATGCTGCCAGTTTTGGCCTGCCTGCTGTGATATCATAATTCTTCACATCCAACAAGAAAGGTTGAAATCTTTCAATAAAAGGAGCATAAGCTATATCCACCTGAAAGGTCATATATATCCCTTGTCGATTAGAGGCATCACAGTATCTCAAAGAACAAACCATGAAGTTGTACCTCATCATACATTTCATAAGTAAAAGCCCAACATATCTTATTTTGCAGATCTACCTCTAAAAACTTGATGACAACAAGACTTGAGACCAGTATTTGATAAAACTCCAAGAAAAGACAAGCAGTTGAGAGAGGGAAAAAAAAA